GACCTGACGGGGACACGTGTGCTTCTACACACGCGTCCCCGCCACACACACTGGTAGCTGACCCGCACCCGAAGCCGAGTAGGGTTGATTCTAAAAATTTCACGACTCCGAGTTTGTCCCCGCTTCGGGAATCGCCACAACAACAATAATAGACGATGCCTCCGCCGTGCCTTGTCAGGAGACGATGACAACGATAAGGACCCGCTGACCCAGCTCGACGACGATGACGGATTGTCGCCTGAGGAAGCAACGCTGAAGATGGACATCCCGGACGGGTTTCGACTCTAGGCGTTTCCACCACCGGCCCTCGATCAGTCGATAGTGAAGCGAAGGGTTCTCGTGAAACTCGGGTTGGGTTGGTTCGGAGGGGTAATTAGTCGCAGATCTCACCCCGCTTCGCGGCAGGAGTACGACTACTGCGTCATGCTGCACTGTGACGAAAGCACGCGTAGCATGCAGATGCCGTTGGAGTCGTACAGCACGGATGAAGACGCCACAATCGGGGCGTGGGTTCTCCTAGAGGTAGACCCAAAGGAAGGGAGCGGGAGGCGCAAAAGGGTGACAACCCTCTATGTTCGCCTCACAGAGCTTGCAACATAATGACGGGATAGGTTTCGTTGTTGGCACGTCAGCGTGCGGGTGAGGCATCATGCGGTGTTTATGCATTTGTTCATTTTCAGCCCTCACTCATGAGGGGGGTACAGGACCTTGTAGCGATAGCGAGACGTTGCCGCCGGATACATTTCGCTTCTAGGGAGAGGCCTTATGTGCAGCGGTCGGTAGTGAGAATCGGGGTTGAGTACGGGGGTTGAGGAAAGCAGTGCAAATCATTTGTATATTTGGAACGTTGTGTAGTATGCAAGCAGAGAAATAAGAATTGCCGATTTAAGAAATTTAGCAGAATTTGGCTGCACGAAAAAATAAGAAACTTCAAGTAAGAAACTGAACGACATACGCTGAGTTTATAGCCCACAAATAGAATTCGAGGCTGGACTTGAAATAAGCGTTTCGTAACTGCGGGCGCCAACTGTACGTATGTCGGTGACTTCTACAGTAGTTCTCGCCATGCCGTACGTCAGAAAATGCCCTCGACACACACGCACCCTAAGTTTTGGCCCTCGGGATTTTCTTACGCCCGTCTTCCTCTTGGTCTCGCTCTCCTCCCCCCACATGAACGGCGCCGTCGCATCCTGCCAGCGAATGAAAAATCGTCAACGTCACAACCGCTGTATGTAAGTACAGGGCACCGATTCGACATAACATTGCCTCAAGCCACACTGCGATAAGAAAACTGCGATACGAAATTCTGCTGTGCTGCCACCTTGTCTTCTACGCACCTGTTCCCACACGGCGGCGGGAGTTTGGAGTAATGGCGCGCACGTGAGAGAGACAGCGAGGAGAGACCCGTGCCGCATGATCCACAAATACAAATCAAGGCCCAAACCTATGATCGATTCAAGGGAATTGCATAAGGAAATGGAGGGAGAAACCACATGCGCACAGAGCAAGCAGAGACAAACAATGTTCAGTAAAGATTCCTTCACGACCGAACCAACGCATATGTATCTATCGGCCATGCTGTGGTGAGGACGGTGTTGGAGAGCTTGGTGCGCCCGGCGCAGTTGTAGACGGCAAAAAGAAAAGAACCGCGCGGCGAGTTTACCGGCAACGATAAAATACAGTAAACTGCCCGCGGGTGTGGTAACCCGCCCCATCTGTAATGTTCCGGAGCGTGATGGCTCTGATGTGTTGACGCTGGTGCTGTGATAGCTGTTGTGATGGCGTGATAGCCTGGAGGCGTGACAGCCTGGCCGCTTGATAGCTGGTGGATATGTAGTATGGACACGGGCGTGATAGCCTAGAGCGTGATAGCCGGGCAAAGGAAGATGAATATTATCCAAGGGCACGTGGCCAGCACCGTTGCAGACACGTATACCCAGAAAACAACAATATGTGGCAAACATCGTACCACCATTCCCCTAATTCATCACAACTAACTGCGGAACCCCCAAAATTCACCGCTCCATCTTCTTAGAACGTTCCTCGGTTGCACCAATCTATCAATGCTGTGAGTACATCCAACAGACGGGATCAGGGGGATGGATGCGGAGGCGAAAAATTCAAAAAATGGGTTTGTAAGACTGGTTCTGCAGGCTTTTTTTTTGTACTGGTGCGCGCTTCGAAACACCAGTACTGCGGTATAAAATGTAGCGTTCAGAAGGAAAGCGTTGTTTGTGGAAGGCGTTTGTTGAATTCGAAAGAAAGCAGGGGACGGGTGCTGAGCGTCCCCTGCGTGCAATGTCTTCAGTCTTCTTGTGCACCCGCGTCTCGGGGAAGAGAACGCTAGTGCAGTCAAACAACTAGTTGAGGAAGCAAGAGGAAGGAGCGTGGAAGTTAGGGCCTTGATCGATTTTGCCCATGGATCCATCAGTGCAAAATGCGGTCCAGGCAAAGATAGCAGCAGACGCAGCCGCGGCCGAAGCCGCACCCGCGTATGACGGCGCCGCACCCAACGCCGCTGCACCCAACGCCGCCGCCGCAGACGCTGCCGCCGCTGTAAACGCTGCCGCAGCCGCTGTCGCAGCCGCCGACGCAGCCGCAGCTGCAGCCGCTCCCCCGGCAGCCGTGCACAACGGCGGCGACGCCCCCCCGGCAAACAACGGACCAGAGGAGGGTGCCGGCGCGAACCCACTCGGCGGTATCCAGGCCATGCTCACCCAGTTCATGAACGCTCACCAAGCTCAAATGGCGGCCTTACACCAACAGGTGGCGCAGCAGGGACAGATCCTGCAGCAGCAGCAGCAGCAGCAGCAGCAGCAGCAGCTGCAGCAGCAGCCACAACAGCAGCAGCAGCCACAGCAGCAGCAGCAACAACCCGCCGGCGGCTTTCTTCCTCCCGTCAACGCACCGGTGGTGGCCGCTAGCGCCGCGCCGCCCGCCCCGGCGACCGCGGGGTCGAAGATGACGGAGAAGATGAGGGCTGAGGACTGGAAAGCGACGGGCCCCCTGTGGCTCCTCGCGCGGGGCGGATTCGACACTCGCGCCCCGGTCGACGTGCCCTTCGTTAAAATGGTCGCCGGCGAATACTCACACATCACAGAGCAGGGAGGGAAACAGATGTGTAGCCTGACGGACATAAAAATCGAGCACTGTTTCCCGCCCAAGTCCGCCAACGCCGCCCTCGCTGCCATGCCCGTAACGGTCCACTTCGACACCTTCATCACCGTGCTGTTCAAAACGATCGAGTACGGCATGGACACGGCCGAGGAGAATGCCAAGCTTCGCGTCGCGGCCTGGAGGGCGGAGTTCGCATCGATTACAAGGAAGCTGGCTACGTACCTCACCCTCCACTACACAGGCCTGCAGCCCCATGAAAACCGGGTCCGCAACGTCCTCCTGGATGCCATCAACCGCGGCTTGGAAGACGGTTTCCGCATTTTACACAAGATGGCATACGACCTACGCTGGACGCACCAGGACGGCCCCCCCACCGCGGACGCCACGGATGCCGTCCCATTTCCGCGATTCAAGCTCCTGAAGACCTTGCTCGAGGAAGATCACACCCAGAGTCTCGCGGAAAAGGCAGCCCAATGGCCTCTCCCCACCGTGGCCGCCGCCCTCGCCCCCGCCACGAGTGCAAAGCGGAAGAGCGGAACGGCCGGGGCCAAGACAGCGACAACCAAGCGGCAGCGGACCACGACCACGACCCCGACGTGCCCCCCCGGTTTTTGCAAGGGATGGTGGTTCAGCCGCCAGTGCCGTATCCCAGACTGCCAACTCCACCACGTACACGCCGGTCCCGCCTCCGCCACCTCCGCCGCTTCCCCACCCCCGCAGGTCCCGCCACCCCCGCAGGCCCCGCCGCAGCAGGCGGCGGCGCCGCAGCCGCTACCATCGCAGCAGCAGCAGCAGCAGCAGCTCCGCCAGCCCAGCGTGGGCAACTTCAGCATGACGGTCCACGGCGGCAGGGGCGGTGGAGGAGGGAACCAGGGGCGCGGCGCCGGAGGGAGGGGCGGCGGGGGGAGGGGAGGTTTCTGACAGGTTGGGCTCTGCCATACGGCAGGGCCGACAGTAGGTGCGGGAGGGGAGTCAGGACGCGCTGGTACCTGGTTCGCCGACGTCGCCAGGTCCGTGGGGCCTCGGGACGCGCCCACGCCGGGGTCGGTTTCGCCGGCCCTGTTTCACGGTGAGCAACTCAAGTTGAGCAATAGCGGTCGCGCAGCAAGGTATAGGTGGACCAACCACACGAACCCGTCTGGTAGCTCCACAAACCTCGACGTAGCCGAATCTCGCCCACCTGTACGATCGGATAGTAGGTTGTCCCCACACTCCAGGGCCAGAACCCTCGAAATGTCGGCACAACCACCGTTTCCTACACGAATTGACGAGATGCCGCCACGAACACGCGAAGCAGACCAACGAGTATCACCTCTTACCACAAAGATAGACACGTCATGTCACCTGTCTCCCACACAAGCCGCAGACGTAGCTGTGTCGGACACAGGGAGACTTTCGTCTCTCCCACAACGCGTAGAAGGCGGCGTTTCGGACACGGGGCTCGCCTCGCCTCTCACACGCCCCCCGGGGTATTCCGTGTCAGACGCGCGGCAGCCAACGTCTCCAACGCCGCTCGCAGCCTTGAAGGAGTCAGCGGCGACCCATCGCCCGTCTCGCACACAGCCCCACGAGGCACGTGTACCAGACGAGGCACGATCGACGCTTCTCACTTCGGTCACCGCGCCTGGCGCGTCAGACACGACCTGTCCTCGAAGTCCCACCCTGCCAGCAAAGGTCCAAGGGTCGGCACTACGACGACAACCGTCTCTCACGCACCACGCACACGTCACCCCTACACAGCAGCTCCAGCGCAATACACAACTCACGTTGAGCAATAGCGCTCGCGCAGCAAGGTATAAGTGGACCAACCACACGAACCCGTCTGGTAGCTCCACAAACCTCGACGTAGCCGAATCTCGCCCACCTGTACGATCGGATAGTAGGTTGTCCCCACACTCCAGGGCCAGAACCCTCGAAATGTCGGCACAACCACCGTTTCCTACACGAATTGACGAGATGCCGCCACGAACACGCGAAGCAGACCAACGAGTATCACCTCTTACCACAAAGATAGACACGTCATGTCACCTGTCTCCCACACAAGCCGCAGACGTAGCTGTGTCGGACACAGGGAGACTTTCGTCTCTCCCACAACGCGTAGAAGGCGGCGTTTCGGACACGGGGCTCGCCTCGCCTCTCACACGCCCCCCGGGGTATTCCGTGTCAGACGCGCGGCAGCCAACGTCTCCAACGCCGCTCGCAGCCTTGAAGGAGTCAGCGGCGACCCATCGCCCGTCTCGCACACAGCCCCACGAGGCACGTGTACCAGACGAGGCACGATCGACGCTTCTCACTTCGGTCACCGCGCCTGGCGCGTCAGACACGACCTGTCCTCGAAGTCCCACCCTGCCAGCAAAGGTCCAAGGGTCGGCACTACGACGACAACCGTCTCTCACGCACCACGCAAACTTTACCCCCACGCAGCAGCTCCAGCGCAATATACAACCTCCTGTAGGACTGCGCTCGACCTACACCACGGAACAACGAGTCTTGCGTCATCGTAGCCCTCCCCACGTCGGGTCATCATCGATTCCCAATGGCCAAGGGCGCAGTGAAACACAGCGAAAACACGTGGCGAGGTGGCACGAGGACAGAGCAACACTCGGAAAAACAAACCTTGAACAACCAGAGAGAGAACAAATTCTGTATCAACTAGCAGAGGTTTGCACACAAATGATGCGAGACAACCGTGGTTCGGTAGGGAAGGTAGCACGGTCGCTCGGCGGAACCCTGGTCACACCACCGGTAGACCCGAACCACGTCAGACAATATTTTGGGGACCTAAAAGGTTTTCCACAGATCGAAGAACTGATGACAATCGTTACTGGAGGGGTACCAGTGAGTGCCCCCCCGTCTAAAGCGGACCTTGCAAGCGCACTGAACTACGGAAACCACCGGTCGGCTGACGAGCACCTACCACTCATTTGGAAGAAACTCGCAGAGGATGTACGAAGAGAGAGATGTCTCGTTATTCAAAAATCGGCGGCGTATGAAATCCCAAACCTCCGCGTGTCGCCGCTGGGAGCGGTCGTTACCCACAAGGTTAGGATAATCAACGACTTGTCTTTCGACGCTGACAACAAAGGAGTAAAAGGAGGTCTCAACGCTGACACAGACGTCGACAGTGTACCCCCTAGCCTCTGCGCCGAAGCTCTGCCAAAATTCCTGTCGGAGCTAGTTAGCCTTCGAGCCAAAAACCCGAAGCTCCGCATCCTCATGTCAACGACGGACGTCAACGACGCCTATCGCAACGTTCGAGTAGAACCTGAGCAAGCGCACAACTTCAGCTACGTAGTCGACGACCTCGTCGTCATCGATTTCCGCCTGACTTTCGGTTGGACCGGCTCGCCGGGACATTTCGGAGTTATGGCGTCCGCGGCTGAACACTCGCACTGTAATACCAATCTCGACAGCGTGCAGTTGCTGCCCGAAGGAGTAAACATGATGAAGCATGTAAAAATCGTTGAACCGTGGGAGGAAGGCGACCCTACGCCCGTGCCGGACGACGCCACAGTTCACGCCACAAAAGGAGGCGATCGGTCGAGCAATTTTATGTCAGTCGTTTACGTAGATGATCACGGCCTCCTGAGAACCCAGCAATCGCCCGACGACTTGTCAGCGCTGACCGTGTCCGCGTCTTTAGCATCAGACTACGTTCGCTTGTTCGGCCCGGGAGAACCGGGGGAGACTCCTATACTCGCGCCGAAGAAGAGTTCGAATTGGGACACGCAGCTTGAATACTTAGGTTTCGTCATCGACTCGCACAAGCTAAAAATCTCTTTGACGACAAAGAAAGCAGAGGCGTTAAAAACAGCCTTAGAAATCGACTGGCCGCGCCACAAGCGTGAAGCGACAGCGCAAGAAGTGTTTAGCATAGCCGGGAAGCTGTGGAACCTCACGTACGTGGTTCGGGCCGGAAAGTACTTCGTCTGGAGGTTGTTGAGACTCACAGGACTCCACAGGAAACACACGAGAAACTGTAGCCACGTTGTAGAACTAGGGAGAGAGTTCCACGACGACCTAGATTTTTTCAGGTGGGCAATCGAACACGAATTGCTCACAGCTGGAGAGTCGCTGAACGCCCCGTGCTACGGTGTCGTAAAACGCCAGCCAAAACGACTTTATCTATCAGACGCTAGTTTCGACGCCATTGGCGGCTTCTGTCCAGAAAAAAGGGTGTTTTGGCGATACGACTTGCCCTTGGACTTCGCAACCGAATTGAAACAAAAGGCCGCGCGTCGGGAGACCTGTAGCGTCACGATCAATCTACTCGAACTCGTGGGCATGGTAATGACCGCCTGGGTAATGCACAGCCTCGTAGGGGATCGCCCAAAAAACAACAACGACCCTGTCTTGATGCGAGGTGACAACATGGCGGCCGTCACATGGTCAAACCGGTGCGGCGGGGCCAGAGACAAACGCGCGTGTTTGATGATGAGAATGCTAGGACGACTCGAGATTTCGGGAGAATGGAGTTACGAGGCAAAACACATCCCGGGCGTAAAAAACACGCTCGCGGACGGGATTTCTCGATGGCCAAGGTCGGAACTAGCCGATAGGGTCCAAAGATTCACCAACACAAACGATTGGCGCGAAATACCACTCGGTTCACGCGGAGAAAAAGTGTGTTCCTTCGTGCTGCAGAAAAAGAACCTACAACCCCGTCACGATCGAACGTTATGGAATCTCATGATGACACCTCACTAAAATTCATCGACAAAACACCCCCGTGACCTCCAACGTTATCCTCGAACCCTCCGCTTACGGACGCTTCAGGAACAGGGCGGGAAGGAGAGGGGATGAGCACGGAAGTCGCGCGGTTGGTGGATACTTTAGTGAGCGCGTCGATCGGGGGAAGCACGCATAAGGTGTACGCCGCGAAGTGGAAGACATGGTTGGATTTTATGAAACACAAGGGTAAAGAACCGTGGTTGAACTCGATGGACGAGTCCGAGATCGTCGCGCTCCTCCTCGAATTTATGACGTGTCGCTTGTTTTCGTTCAACAACCAGCAGTCCACAGTTCGGGGATACCTCGCAGCGATCAAGTTTTACCATAAGCTATGTACGGGGTGGGAGCCTCCCACGTCGCACTGTATGATTACGGCGGCAGGGAAAGGGATTGATCGCATTCGAGGGATGACGGGCAAGCAAGCGCAAGTGAGGCTGCCCCTCACGTGGTCGATGTTGTCCCAAGGCTACCATACCGTCGCGAGCGCTCCGGATGGAGGAAAAGTTTTCTGGTTAGGACTGACGCTGTCGTATTTTCTCTTGTGCCGAGCTTCGGAATTGTTCGCGTACGCGAACGGCCTCGTCCATCCAGATTTCTGTTTGACGCGTGACTGCTTGAGGTTTTTTCAAGGAGACATTCAAGTGGAGACTGAAGATAGAGCGCGCGCGGATTCAGTCAGGATTCATTTCGTGGCGTCAAAAGCAGATCAGAATCGAGAGGGATGCACGATCACGCGCACCCGCAGCCCGAGATCGGAGGAACCTGGTAGGGCGCCTTTCGGAGCCTTCGAAGCGATCGTGGAGCTCCTGAACGTCCACCGGAGCCTTCCCGGACGTGCCCCTTTGATGACGAGGATGGGTGCAAATGGGTGGAAGGTGGTTACTCGCGCGGAAGCTGTAGTCGCGCTGAGGAGGATGGTTGCTTGTGCAGGGAAGGATCCGGCACAGTACGCGTTGCACTCGGGTCGCATTGGTGGCGCCACGCAATTAGCCGCGCAAGGCGTGTCGGACTTGCAGATTCAGCGGGCTGGGCGTTGGAAGTCGCGAGCGTTCATGGTGTACGTAAGGGAAGCGGGAGAAGGAGCAGAAACGGTTTCCGTGGGACTTACAGGAGGAAGATGAGAGTAAAACAGTACACTCAGCCTGCACAATGGCGTGGTTTTCAGATAGCTTGGAAGAGGCTATTCTCGTACCGGATTGGCTGAGTCGTGAATTCGAGTATCGTATAGGGACATCGTAGGGGCAGGACCCACAAGAGTGGAGGTACGGTTCGTCTACATGTGATCTATATTGTCTCGGGTCTTCATCATTTTTTCTCGTAGAAGATTAGAAAAATAATGCCAGAATTCTTGAGCCTATAACAAACGCGCCGTGATACGTGATACGCGCAGAGGGGCTCCGCAGAAATATTTTTTTTGCGCGTGGTACCCGATCCCTATTTCGGCCTATATTTTTTTGTGTTTTCAATGGGAGCAACACGTGGGTTATCCGCAGACCATACCGTGGATACGCAAGACGGTGCCAGTGGGACCAACGGTGCACCTTGATAATTAGAAAGCTGGACACGGAATGGAAAATGCCGCCAGGACGAAGCTACGCCCACCCCACCTGCACGTATTTTGATTTTGTGCACCTTACTTTTCCGAAAGAAGTCAACCCTGCTGTCGCTGAGGATCGCGTGATGATGTGGAACGCGACGCCCCGAAGACGGAATAATGGGCGAGTTTTCGCAATATACAGTGCCGGCCCGCACTTAAGAATACGGCACGTAATAAGAATTTTAGGCTCAAGAATCCCATTCATAAGGATTTGCTGATAAGAACACGTGCTCAGACTGCACGTCCTGTTAAGAACAAGAACACACTTGAGGTGCACCACATAAGAACAATAGCAATGCAGCGGCTGCCAGATATTCGCAGGTGGCGGGGCCGGAAGAGGGGGGGTGATCCCAGTAGTATCGGATTTGGGAGGGGGGCAGGTTGTTTAGGGTGGCACCTACACACACACCTAGTCTAAAGTTTGTATTCTTGTCAGAGGGGGGAGGGCGGGCTCTGTACCTGTCATGCTCCCGGGTGCCCCCAAAACGTGCGGCATGCCACGCAACGTGCAGTGTGCCACGAGCGCTCAATTCCAGCTGTTGGAGCGTTGGAATGTGAATCAAGTACCTTTGGCATTCATTCGTAAACGGGGTGATCGACACGTGGGACAAGAGCGGTGCGTTGCGGGTAGCAATCTCGCAGCCCTTTCCTGGCGTAGAGAAAAGGCAGTGCACCACCATGCAGGAGAAAGTCGCGCACCGCGAGGACGTGGACCTGTTTTTCCAGGAGAATACGTGAGCCGACCAAAAGTTCTGCATGGAGTGGGCGAAGAGGCCCTACCGCGAAGGCCTGATGCGCGGGCGGGGTGAGCTCCCCAAGGCGAGGTCCATTCTTATCATGGACAACTTGCACGCGCAGACGAAGGACGATTTCAAGGAGTGCCTTGCGAAGCAATGTAACACTCTCGCCTGGTATGGCCCTTCGGAGTGCACGGACGAGGTGCAGCCAGTTGATGCAGGAGCCGGCCGATTTTTCAAGGTGGAAGTTGGGAGGCAGATGGACATATGGCTCGAGCAGCCAGTCGGATAATCTCGAGAGGTGGGAAACCGCGTCTCTGATAGCTTCTGATCGGCGGGTACTGATCACTCAGTGGATAGGAGCAGCCATGGCAAGACTCAACAGCCAACAGGCCTTCCGATACCGCCTTTCCGAAAAAGTGCGGGATGGCCATGACCGTGGACGGCTCAGGCGATGATCGAACCACCTTGGAGGGTCTGGACAAGCCGTACACCTTCTTCGCAAAAGATGAAGACAGTAGCGAGGACGAACAAGGCTCGGAGAACGGCAGCGATGAGCCTGAGGGGCGGGGGCAGAAGGGCGATGGAGGATGTGAGACGGTCGTGGAAGGCGCTGACTCCAGCGATTAAGACGACGGCGGAAACTTGTTTTGCACTAGACCCACTCTTGATCATTCCCTTTGTTGATGACGATGTCCTTCATGTTGATGTTTGCCTGTGTTTTTTTTGCTGATGTGCTGTTTCCGCCCACGACTACGAACAAATGGTGATAGCTTCATGTTGAGATATGGCGACGTGACACCCTAGCTTCTTGTCGTGTTTCCCGGTGCCTCGTTCGCAGACACGTCTCTACCCCAGACCTACGAGCTAACTCTTCTGGGTGACGACTACAAGAGGGACCCACAAGACCCGGAGGACGAGATACAGGGAATGGAGATCCCGGCAAGCTTTCGTATTAAAGAAGCTAAACCCGTTGCGCTTGACAGATTGTTTTGGCGGCGTGGAGTGCTTGTTAAGCTGGGGATGGGTGCGGTTTGGAGGGTTGATCACTCATCAATCTCAGAAGGATACTCGCCACCTGTACGACTACTCTGTTCAGCTGGAGCTACACCAGAGTACGTGCAAGATGAGGTTGCCCTTTGACAAGTGCAGCGGAGATCCGGATACGGCTGCAGGCTCCTGGGTTTTGCTTGATTGGGAGCGTTCGTAGATCGGGAAGGGTACCGACGGCCAGCGTCCGAATTGTGGACCAAGAAGGATGACAGTTGCTGCTCCATGCCTTCGTGTTTTCTTGAACTTCAAAACAAACAGCAGTGTTTCTCATGGTTGACAGCCGCCAGAGTACGTCGTCGTACGTACGCCAATAGAGCAATCGGTGTTGAAGCAAAACAAGAACCCCCATTTCTGGAGAAGAATGGAGCAACGAGATAAGAACTTGGCAAATAAGAACTAACTGGTGCTCGGGTTGGGGCAGCCAATAAGAACTGAGCCTCGCTCAATATAGGAGCTTCTTAGGTGCTGGCCGGCACTGTAGTAGTTGCACTCCCTTCCCTCAATCACGCTCTGTGATATTCTGCTTCTTGTGCGCCGCGTGGCATATGCAGCAGTTTTCTCGAAGGTGTGATCTTTCGCAACGAACGCTAAATACAACACCAAAGGTGCCCGCAGTTTTCTGATTGGCCAATTTTTTTGGGAGGGACCGTTCCACAGAACGATAAAAAAATCCATGGTCGACTGGTGACGTCATCCACGGTTGTGACGTCACTTCTCGGGGAAACTCGAAAAATTCAAATTCGCCGTGATTGACTGATGGATGGCATCAATCGTTGAGGAGCGCGGGAACCGCCGAGAAAGAGAAAAAGTACCCGCAGTTTTGTGATTGGTCAATTTGTTTGGATGGAACTTTCCGATGATTTCGAAAAATACTTCATCGACCGGTGACGTCATCCACGTTCGCGTGGCCACCTCTCGGGAAAACTGAAAAATATTATAATTCACCGCGACGAACTGATTGATAGCTTGATGAGCCCACAGACAACATCATCCCGTCGTGTGGAGTGCGTAGTAGTGTCGTCACACGATGTTATGGAAATGTTAGTTTGTTTGATTTTTCGGGTGGATGAGGTTGGGGTTTTGTTCGTTTTTCTCCATCTAAGGTTCGTGCCTAGAGTTCAGCTGTAGTGTTTCAACCAAAGTTTTGTTGACTTAGAGGCAAACATTCCGAGCTATTGGGCATCGGGTTAATTTGGATTGGCATGACGGCCTTTACGACGTTTTATGTATGTCTGCATTTATCTGCAATTGTCGGAGGGCAAACAAACAATAAAAAAAATTAGCACATAACCAGTATGAATCAATTTTCAGTAGCACTGCTCTTGTATATCGTAGATCTCATACGTGTCGGTTCGGATGTCGGCTCGAATGTAACGTATAAATATGTGTATGCGGAGGAATTGCTCTCATTCTCGCAGGATTCTCTGCGTGGTGCTTGATAGCCGAGTGAGTAGCTCACTCTCTCGTGTGATCCTTCCGGATTATGTTGGCCACCTAAGGGCCAGTGTTCCAATATCTCAACATCTTCTTCACTACGTGGAAGAACTCTCGTCTTCCAGGCTACCCTCTCGCACGTGTCATCACCTCGACTAACGTCGACGACACAGCCTCTACACCACTGTGCCAGGGTATTACATAATATCCAAAGTAGGTTATGAGCCTCGGTTCTGTGTGACTGGAGGCCTGCGGCGACGTCTTCTGCTGGTGTCGAGCACTGTGGAGCACACACACATCTTGCGGCTTGGGTATTCTACGCCGGGAGCGACCGTCGGAGTCTGCTTTCTGCTGGAGATCACACTGAGTCAACCCGCTTGCTTATTGGGTCCGGACTGATCACCTGGGTTCTTGGCTGCACATTTCGGTACGATTNCGGCGACGTCTTCTGCTGGTGTCGAGCACTGTGGAGCACACACACATCTTGCGGCTTGGGTATTCTACGCCGGGAGCGACCGTCGGAGTCTGCTTTCTGCTGGAGATCACACTGAGTCAACCCGCTTGCTTATTGGGTCCGGACTGATCACCTGGGTTCTTGGCTGCACATTTCGGTACGATTCTGTGTAAAGCATTCGGGGGCATAATTTCTAGGCGTTGACTTCGGTCGGCGAATAGAGTTGTGCAGGTAGTTGGTTCTGCGTTCGGAGTGCCGTCCTTGGTGTTCTGTGTGTTCTCAACTAACTACCAAAACCGCCTGCGCGTGGTCCTTCGCGAGGCGAATAGTCTGTCCAAGATATCTCCCACGTGCTCAGTTGCCAAGCTTGATAGCGTGTGCAGGCTGAGGATACGACTGCTAGCTGGTAGCCCACTGCTGCTACAGCTACACCCACATGATCCGTTCACGTAAATTTATCTGCGCGTTGTGCTATACGCGAGACAGGTCTGTCCAACATATCTCACGCGTACTGTGTGTATACCGGTGCGAGTGCAGGTTGAGGATCTGACCAGGCCTGTTTTCATCCGTGCAGCAGCTACAAGTCTGCGCTGAAAGACGCGTAGCAAGGCTAAGCAATACATCTGACCCGTGTGCCTGCAGGACGAGGCCGGAGTTGGCAACTTCGTCGCCGCAACACCGCAGCCTAGCCACCTGCGGTAGGTCATAGCTGTGCTCGTAGAAGCGCAGTAGTCCGAGCGGACACTACATCGCTTCCGCTAGACGTGGGTTGTACGCTACAAAGCTGCGACCTGCACCAAGCCTACCTCTGTGTAGCATAGCACCGTTTTGTTCTGGCGCGTCGAACCTTCGCAGGTAATCGAGGCGTATTACGTGTGCTGAAAACCGTATAACGCTCGGCGTGTAACCCTGGTTTCAGTGATGGCGGAATCATCGAGGNCGCAACACCGCAGCCTAGCCACCTGCGGTAGGTCATAGCTGTGCTCGTAGAAGCGCAGTAGTCCGAGCGGACACTACATCGCTTCCGCTAGACGTGGGTTGTACGCTACAAAGCTGCGACCTGCACCAAGCCTACCTCTGTGTAGCATAGCACCGTTTTGTTCTGGCGCGTCGAACCTTCGCAGGTAATCGAGGCGTATTACGTGTGCTGAAAACCGTATAACGCTCGGCGTGTAACCCTGGTTTCAGTGATGGCGGAATCATCGAGGTCCGGGCTCCACCGCATGCTGGACTCCATTGGGAAATGCGCGGGACATTCGGGTTTCCGCGAGTGGAAGATCAAGCTTCGACAAGCAATCATCCTCCACGCGCCAGAACTTCTCCCCGTCCTCAACGGAAACGCGCGTCCTTCGGCGACCGCGGCGAACGCGGAGGACCTGGCCGCGTGGGACAAGGCCAACGGTCGCCTGTTCTCCCTCCCCTTCTTCGTGACCTCCGGGTCTGTGCAGCTCACTGTCCGCACTCACGAAGGGGCGGCGGATAGTGACATGGAGGATGGGACGGCGGCCTGGAGAGCTCTCAACGAGCGTTTTGATGCTCAAACCCAGGAAGCTCGGCGTGCGTGTCACAACGAGCTGTTCAACCTGCGACACCTTGCGGGCGGTGATCCCATCGACTTCTTCACAAAGGGGTGGGATCTCAAGCTTCGCCTTAAGGTGCTGGGGGAGGAAGTGTCGGACCCAGTCTACATGGACATCATGCTCTCAGGCCTGACCAAGGCCCCGGAGTTCAAGTTCATCAGGGAGATGCACTACCGCGACAATTTTACTTCAGTAGACAGTCTCCAGGCGACGGCTAATCGCTTTTTCGTGGATCAGCAGTCGCGCAACGCGTCGGGCCCCGTGGTCTCAGGCCGGGGGGCTGCGATGGCGGTCGCGTCCGACACCGACCAGTGCCGCCGATGCAAGGCGTACGGACACTTTTAGCGCCATTGTCCCCAACAGGTCCAAAACCGTCCTAAGCAGAGCAAGAAGAAGGGAGCCAACAAGCGAGGAAGTGGTGGGAGTGTACAGCGAAAGTGGTGCTCCAACCACAACACTTAGACACGCAGCGATGCTGAGTGCCAGAAGCAAAAGGAAATCCGGGAAAACAAGCAAAAGGAGCTTGAAGGGTTGGCGGCGAACCTGGCGCTCCTGCAGTCAGCTGGTCATGCCAACTCTCTCCAACTCTCCAATATCGGGAGTGCTCACCTGGCGCAATCGTCTCCGACGGTGGCGTAACAGGCTCCGTCAGAGCCGACTTCGTTCGGGTTCTCCTTCAACGCCCTCGGAACTTCCTTGGCGGAGGCAACCTCGTCGTTTGCCTCTTCCCAGTCACCTCCGGCGGCGTCTGCCGCCACGCAAGCGGCACCTGCATCTGCCTCATCAACGTCGAGGGCGCAGGACCACCGACTGCCTTCAGGGTTCTTCGGTGCGTTCATGGCGACTCATGCAGAGTTGTCGCTTGCTCCTTTTCGCTCCGACGGATCGTCCATCCGGATGGTTGTGGACATTGGAGCGACAGACAACTACCTCGACCCTGGGCTTACACCAGGATTGCGGGCTCACATGCGCGACGTCGAACACCTTCGGGTCCCACACACGATCGTCGCCGCGGGCCAGCATGTCCTCAAAGGCGTTACGACGGGGACCATCTTCGGGGCCGTCACGGACGACAATGGGAACGACCGGCACGACTCCTTTCGCGTCATCGNGTTCTCCTTCAACGCCCTCGGAACTTCCTTGGCGGAGGCAACCTCGTCGTTTGCCTCTTCCCAGCCACCTCCGGCGGCGTCTGCCGCCACGCAAGCGGCACCTGCATCTGCCTCATCAACGTCGAGGGCGCAGGACCACCGACTGCCTTCAGGGTTCTTCGATGCGTTCATGGCGACTCATGCAGAGTTGTCGCTTGCTCCTTTTCGCTCCGACGGATCGTCCATCCGGATGGTTGTGGACATTGGAGCGACAGACAACTACCTCGACCCTGGGCTTACACCAGGATTGCGGGCTCACATGCGCGACGTCGAACACCTTCGGGTCCCACACACGATCGTCGCCGCGGGCCAGCATGTCCTCAAAGGCGTTACGACGGGGACCATCTTCGGGGCCGTCACGGACGACAATGGGAACGACCGGCACGACTCCTTTCGCGTCATCGTGGTACCAGGGCTGGGCACCAACCTCTTCTCCGTGACATTGGCGATGCTAAAAGGGGTGGCGACGTTGTTGCATCCGGACAACCCCAGGTTGGAGTCCGGGGACGTGGTTTCCCCAATGCAGACCCTCGGGGTGGACGCCACGACCGGAAAACGCATCTACTCCATCGAGGTACAGCTAGGGGGTGAACCTGAGGGCCCGACGGTCCTCGGAGACGCGCCGGATGCCCTCGCCTTGAAGGTGGAGTCCGCTGATCTCTGGCACCGGCGCATGGGTCACATCAACGGTAAGAGCTTGGACGTTCTAAGGAGAGAACAGGTTAACGGCGTCGACTACACCGGAGACGTGAAGGACTGCAGTGTCTGCCCGCTCGGAAAGAGCACCAACAACCTCACCCAAGCAGGCCACCTACGGCGTCCTGCGCCCCTTCCAGCACGTTTCCGTCGACACCCTTGGCCCCTTCACACCTACGGTGTTGGGCGGATTCAAGTACGCCACCAAGTTCGTGGACCAGCAGACCAAGTGGGCGGAGATAGTTCTCATGAAAGATAAGACCTGTTCTGTAGACACCCTCGCGTTGTTCAATAAAGGGACCGTGGTTCCTACCGGAGAACGCATTCATTGCCTCCGTGGGGATCAGGGCACAGAATTCACGAGTGCGGAATTCCGTCAGTACTGTCAAGACATCGGCATCAAGCTGGAGTTCGCCTCTCCGAACACCCCTCAGCAGATCGGAGCCAACGAGCGTGCGCGTCGGACGATTTTGAATGTCGTGCGCTGTCTGCTCCCTGACTTAACTCCNTGTCGTGCGCTGTCTGCTCGCTGACTCAACTCTACCGAACTTCCTTTGGGGGGAGCTGATCCAGACGGCAGTCTACCTGAGCAACCGGGTTCCTCATGCAGCCCTGCAAAACGGGACGCCGTACAAGGCGCTCTACGGCAAGGATGCCTACCTTGGTCACCTTCGAGTGATAGGGTCAAGGGCGTTCGTGCACGAAGAAACCCACACCAGGAAGCTGGAGCACCGTGCTTGGGAAGGACGCCTTGTGGGATACACCATGGACAGCAAGTCGTATCGGATCTACAACTCTGAGACGCGACGTGTGTTCGTGAGTCTGCGAACATTGCTGTTGGATACATGTGCTGGATGATTTTGTGTCACGCAGACTGGTAAGATAACCGTTTGATAGGGGGGCACCGCGATGATTCACGGGGCCCCTCCTTGCTGTGGGAGCCGCTCTTTGAGCACTCCCTCTTTCGTCCGTGTGAAGGA